GTTGATGGTCTTAGTGTTTAGAAGGGGAATCCCCTTCCATTAGGACTTGAGGTGGCAAGTCCTTTTTCGGGGTTACTTCCCTTCTTCTTTTAATGCCACTAGGACCAGTTTGAGAGTCACTGGACCTCTGTCGCACAACATATCTGCCCATAGAGGCCTGTACCTCCCGTTCCTTTATGACATTCCTAAAGTGTTTCATAACATTGTCAGTGTCACCATTAAACACTTGTTCAGGTTTCAGTCCTTCACTGTCTATGTACTCCTTGAATTCCTGCACATATTTTTCAGCTGCTTTTTGGTCCAAACTGGCAGCCTCACCATGCCTTATCACACTATGTATGCCACTACGATTCTTAAATCTCTCAAACCAACCTTTGCTGGCCTTAAATTCACTCACATCACCACTAGTTGCTGGCATTTTTCTAATTAAATCGTCATGCAACTTCCTAGCCTTTTCACATATGATCGCTTGAGAGATGCTATCTCCTGCTATCTGTTTTTCGCTTATCCATACCAATAACAGTCTCTCAACATCTTCTATCACTTGCAATCTCAGTTTCGAAAACATAGTTGCACCTTTGGCAAGAACAGCTTCCTTGATTGCCGTTTTCTTGGCCACAATAGTAGCAATGGTTGATTGGGGTTTTGTGTACAGCCTGGCCAGCTCGGAGACATGCACTCCACTTTCATACTTAGCAATGATCTCTTCTTCTCTAGGGTTGGCACTAGAAGCTTTCTTGGGGCCCATGGTGACTTATTTTGCAGGTGCAATCACTAAAAAGGCTGTGATAATATGAAATTTTCCGATTGTATGCTTGGAAGCGACCGCGGTGGCTGGCTGGCTTGTAAACACTGGCCAGAAGTGGACGCGTCTCAGACGGAACGAATAGTGTTGGTCGAGTTTTTTAGCGCTAATCGAGGCAAATTTTTTGCGATAAAATGTATCGCTAGTCAGATTTATCGTTAATCGATGCCATCGCTGGTCGAGGGTCCACAGTGGACCCCCAAGTTTCGTGATTAATCTGTTCCAGAGAGCCTGCCGAAGGTCGAAATTCACGAAAGTCGAAACCATTTTCCCCATAAGAAATAATGGAAATAAAATTAATCTGTTTCAGACACCCAAAAATAATAAAAAAAATTTTTTTTTTTTTAAATTTTAAAGAAAGAATTTTTCATAAATGAAAACAATTTAGAAAACAAGTACAAGGAAATTTTAAAAAAAAAAATAATAAAAATTTCACTTAACCTTTTTCTGAAGACAACTGCATGGTTGGGAAAACGGGGGGAGGGGGTAGGAAAAAAAAAGGGGTACACTATTTTTTGGAAGGAGAATCCCCCTTCCATTAGGACTTCGGGATAAAGGCCATTTTCTGGGGGTTTTTCCCTTCTTCTTTTTTAAAGCCCCTGGGACCCCTTGAGATTTCCCGGCCCCTGTCTTTCAAAAATTGTCCCCGAGAAAGGGCAGTTTTTTCGCTTTTCTTTAAGATTTTTCCCCGAAGTGGGACACACGTTTATTTTACAAGTTTCCAAAACGGGCCCAATAGCTTTGTTTTGGGTGAAATTCATCCCTAAATGTTTTTTTAAAATTCATTTTCCCCTTTTTTCCCCCCCAAAATTCCCTTAAACTTTGAAAAAAGCACCTTTTTTTCCATCTCCCCTTCCCCCCCTCCCCGCACAAATTTTTCCCGACTGTGATCTGTTTTCTGGGTTTCAGATGAAGCCTTGGGGAGCTCTTTAGTGGTTTTGCCTTCCCGTGGTCCTCCACCCAACCTTCCCCATCCTCACCACTCACCTCCAAACCCCCGGGGCAACCCCAAGGGCCAAAAATAGTTTCCCCAATGGCATAGGTTTTTTTGGGTCAGCCCCCAAACCCTTTTAAAATCCCTCTCTTGTACACAATTTTGGCCACAAATTTCTCCAAGCAGAGTTTTTTTTTAAATTTCCCGGAAGCCACTCCCTCCCAAGACTTTAAATATAAGGTTTAGCAATGGAGGGTGTTTAAAATGATTTTCCCAAAATCCTTAGGGTCCGTTCATGTCGAGGCACTTCAAAGCACTTCTGAAACACTGCTTTGGTGTAGAGTTTTTTGAAGTTTGAAATGACCTGCTGGTCCATGGGCTGGAGGAGAGGAGTGGTATTAGGAGGCAAGAACTTCACCGTGATGAAACTAAACTCCTCCACTATTTGCTCTTCCAAGTCTGGAGGATGAGCAGGAGCATTGCCCCATTACCAGGAGCACTTGAGTGGCAATTTATTTTCCAGGAGGTATTTCTTCACACTGGGGCCAAACACTTCATTAAACCAGTCTAGGAAAATTCCCCTTGTGACCCATGCCTTACTGTTAGCCTTCCACATCACACACAAGTTACTCTTGGCGACACTGTATTTCTTGAACACTGGGATTTTCAGAGTGATACACCAGTAAAGGCTTCACTTTAAAATCCTCACTAGCATTACTACAAAACATGAGAGTAAGCCTGTCTTTCATAGGCTTGTGTCCTGGGAGTGCCGCTTCCTTCTGCGTGATGTAAGTCCTCTTTGGCATTTTCTTCCAGAAGAGGCCTGTTTCATCACAATTAAACACTTGCTAAGGTTTGAATTATCCAGTGTCTACGCACTCCTTAAACTCCTGTACAAACTTCTCAGCTGCTTTTTTGTCAGAACTGGCAGCCTCACCATGCCTTATCACACTGTGAATGCCACTATGCTTCTTAAATCTCTGAAACCAACCTTTGCTGGCCTTAAAATCACAAGCATCACCACTTGTTGCAGGCATGTTCTTTACGAGATCGTCATGCAACTGCCTTGCCTTTTCACATATTATCGACTGCGTAACACTATCTCCTGCTAACTGTTTTTCGGTAATCCACACCAACAAAAACCTCTCCACTTCTTCGAGGATTTGTGATCTCCTTTTTGTCAGCATATCCACCCCTTTTGCAACAACAGCACACTTTAAATTTTCCTTTCCTTCGCCATGATCGAAGTGATGGTTGAATGGGGCTTGCCAAACATCCTGACAAGCTCTGTAACACGCACTCCACTCTCATATTTTTCAATGATTTCCTTCTTGAATTCGATCGTGTTCCTCACTTTCTTTACCAAAGGGTTTGCACTAGCTTTCCTTGGGCTCATGGTGACTTATTTAGCAGTTGTAATCACAAAAAACAATGGATTATTACGTATGAACCCGCGGGGTGATGGTCACATGTTGGTAAACAATGGCACACTGAGCATGAATGGCATGGGAGACTGGCTTTGTGTGTGCCGTGACGGGTGGATGGGTACCGGACGGTCGCCGAAACACGAGTTTTTTCACGAAACTCGAGGCCAAATTTTTCCAAAAAAACTCGCCGAAGGTAGAATTTCATGAAAGTCGAGGCTGCCAAAACTCGAGGGTCCACTGTAATATATATATATAAAATATAATATATAATATAAATATATATATATATATATATCATAAGTTACTTTAAATTTATTTAATATCTCTTCAAGTTAATAAAATATATTTTCTTTCATTACGTTGAGATTAATGGCAAAAAAAAAGCACCGTTTATTCGGCAGAAAGCATCTTTACCATTTAGGCAAGCTAGTAATGTTATATATGGTAACTGGTACAGAGAACTTTGTTATAGATTCCTCCCAGGTATTCCAAGCGTATTTGTCACTTAATTGTATACTGCATCTGATAGCTTTGTTCGTATCTGTGTTCCCTAACTTGTGTGCCTTTAACCTCCAGTAACCACCATTAACCAGTGCTCCACTAACCACCATTAGCCAGTGAGTCACTAACCACTAACTGGTACTCCCATAAAAAATAACCATTGCTCAACTACACATTACTAGCCCATGTTCCTCTAACCATCACTAACCACTGCTCCACTAATCACCACTAACAAGTGCTAGACTATAACTAATAAGTTCACCATTAACCACTACTAACCCGTGCTCCACTAACCACCACTAGCCAGTGAGAAACTAGCCACTTCTAACCAGTGTTCCAATAGCAAGTCATTAACCACTAACTAGTACTCCATTAACCATTAACCAGTGCTCCATTAACCACTAGTGCTCCATTAATCACTAACCAGTGTTCCATTAACCACTAACTAGCGCTCCGTTAACCACTAACCAGTGTTCCATTAATCACTAACTAGTGCTCCATTAACCGCTAACTAATGCTCCATTAACCACTAACCAGTGTTCTACTAACCACTAGTGCTCCATTAACCACTAACCAGAGTTCCAATAATCACTAATACTCCATTAACCACTAATTAGTGTTCCATTAACCACTAACTAGTGCTCCATTAGCCACTAACTAGTGCTCCATTAACCACTAACTAGTGCTCCATTAACCATTAACCAGTGTTCCATTACCCACTAACCAGTGTTCTATTAACCACTATCTAGAGCTCCATTAACCACTACCCAGTGTTCCATTAACCACTAACTAGTGTTCTATTAACCACTAACCAGTGTTCCATTAACAACTACCCAGTGTTCCATTAACCACTACCCAGTGTTCCATTAACCACTACCCAGTGCTCCATTAACCACTAACTAGTGCTCCATTAACCACTAACCAGTGTTCCATTAACCACTAACCAGCGTTCCATTGACTATTAACCATTGTTCCATTGACTGCTAACCAGCGTTCCATTGGCTATTAACCAGTGTTCCATTAACCACTAACCAGTGTTCCATTAACCACTAACCAGTGTTCCATTAACCACTAACCAGTGTTCCATTAACCACTAACCAGTGTTCCATTAACCACTAACCAGTGTTACATTAACCACTAACCAGTGTTCCATTAACCACTAACCAGTGTTCCATTAACCACTAACCAGTGTTACATTAACCAGTGCCCCACTAGCAAAAGAACCACTAACCACCACTTACCATTGCTCCACTAACCGCCACTAGAAAATGAGCCATTAACCACCATTAACCAGTGCTCCAATAGCAGCTACTAACCATCATTAACCTGACAGATAATGAACATGGTACACGCGTGTATAATGACCACCAGCTGGTTGAGGTACAGGAGAACAGCCCAGCTGCCCAAGACAGTCACAACTGACCTGAAAGTAAGTTGCTCTCTCTCTCTCTCTCTCTCTCTCTCTCTCTCTCTCTCTCTCTCTCTCTCTCTCTCTCTCTCTCTCTCTCTCTCTCTCCCCTCCTTTCCAGGATCCCAGCATGCTTGCTCTAACATACATCCTGGAAGGTTTGTGTTTTAAACATTCTAAAAGGTTTGTGTTGTAACAAGCTGTCTGAAAGGTTTGTGTTGTAACAAGCATCTTGGAAGGTTTGTGTTGTAATAAGCATCTTGGATGGTTTGTGTTGTAACAAGCATCCTGGAAGGTTTGTGTTGTAACAAGCATCCTGGAAGGTTTGTGTTGTAACAAGCATTCTGGAAGGTTTGTGTTGTAACAAGCATCCTGGAAGGTTTGTGTTGTAACAAGCATCCTGGAAGGTTTGTGTTGTAACAAGCATCCTGGAAGGTTTGTGTTGTAACAAGCATCCTGGAAGGTTTGTGTTGTAACAAGCATTCTGGAAGGTTTGTGTTGTAACAAGCATCTTGGATGGTTTGTGTTGTAACAAGCATCCTGGAAGGTGTGTGTTGTAACAAGCATCCTGGAAGGTTTGTGTTGTAACAAGCATCTTGGATGGTTTGTGTTGTAACAAGCATCCTGGAAGGTGTGTGTTGTAACAAGCATCCTGGAAGGTTTGTGTTGTAACAAGCATTCTGGAAGGTTTGTGTTGTAACAAGAATTCTGGAAGGTTTGTGTTGTAACAAGCATCTTGGAAGGTTTGTGTTGTAATAAGCATCTTGGAAGGTGTGTGTTGTAACAAGCATCCTGGAAGGTTTTGTTGTAACAAGCATCCTGGAAGGTTTGTGTTGTAACAAGCATCTTGGAAGGTTTGTGTTGTAATAAGCATCCTGGAAGGTTTGTGTTGTAATAAGCATCTTGGAAGGTTTGTGTTGTAATAAGTATCCTGGAAGGTTTGTGTTGTAACAAGTATCTTGGAAGGTTTGTGTTGTAATAAGCATCCTGGAAAGTTTGTGTTGTAATAAGCATCTTGGAAGGTTTGTGTTGTAATAAAGTATCCTGGAAGTTTGTGTTGTTAACAAGTATCTTGGAAGGTTGTGTTGTAATAAGCATCCTGGAAGGTTTGTGTTGTAATAAGCATCTTGGAAGGTTTGTGTTGTAATAAGTATCCTGGAAGGTTTGTGTTGTAACAAGTATCTTGGAAGGTTTGTGTTGTAACAAGCATCCTGGAAGGTTTGTGTTGTAATAAGCATCTTGGAAGGTTTGTGTTGTAATAAGCATCCTGGAAGGTTTGTGTTGTAATAAGCATCTTGGAAGGTTTGTGTTGTAATAAGTATCCTGGAAGGTTTGTGTTGTAACAAGTATCTTGAAGGTTTTGTGTTGTAATAAGCATCCTGGAAGGTTTGTGTTGTATAAGCATCTTGGAAGGTTTTGTGTTGTAATAAGTATCCTGGAAGGTTTGTGTTGTAACAAGTATCTTGGAAGGTTTGTGTTGTAACAAGCATCTTGGAAGGTTTGTGTTGTAACAACCATCTTGGAAGGTTTGTGTTGTAACAACCATCTTGGAAGGTTTGTGTTGTAACAAGCATCCTGGAAGGTTTGTGTTGTAACAAGCATCCTGGAAGGTTTGTGTTGTAACAAGCATCTTGGAAGGTTTGTGTTGTAACAACCATCTTGGAAGGTTTGTGTTGTAACAAGCATCTTGGAAGGTTTGTGTTGTAACAAGTATCTTGGAAGGTTTGTGTTGTAACAAGCATCCTGGAAGGTTTGTGTTGTAACAACCATCTTGGAAGGTTGTGTTGTAACAACCATCTTGAAGGTTTGTGTTGTAACAACCATCTTGGAAGGTTTGTTTTGTAACAAGCATCCGGAAGGTTTGTGTTGTAACAAGCATCTTGGAAGGTTTGTGTTGTAACAACCATCTTGGAAGGTTTGTGTTGTAACAACCATCTTGGAAGGTTTGTGTTGTAAACAACCATCTTGGAAGGATTTGTGTTGTAACAAGCATCTTGGAAGGTTTGTGTTGTAACAAGCATCCTGGAAGGTTTGTGTTGTAACAACCATCTTGGAAGGTTTGTGTTGTAACAACCATCTTGGAAGGTTTGTGTTGTAACAACCATCTTGGAAGGTTTGTGTTGTAACAACCATCTTGGAAGGTTTGTGTTGTAACAAGTATCTTGGAAGGTTGTGTTGTAACAAGCATCCTGGAAGGTTTGTGTTGTAACAACCATCTTGGAAGGTTTGTGTTGTAACAACCATCTTGGAAGGTTTGTGTTGTAACAACCATCTTGAAGGTTTGTGTTGTAAACAACCATCTTGGAAGGTTTGTGTTGTAACAAGCATCCTGGAAGGTTTGTGTTGTAACAACCATCTTGAAGGTTTGTGTTGTAACAAGCATCTTGGAAGGTTTGTGTTGTAACAACCATCTTGGAAGGTTTGTGTTGTAACAAGCATCTTGGAAGGTTTGTGTTGTAACAAGCATCCTGGAAGGTTTGTGTTGTAACAACCATCTTGGAAGGTTTGTGTTGTAACAACCATCTTGGAAGGTTTGTGTTGTAACAACCATCTTGGAAGGTTTGTGTTGTAACAACCATCTTGGAAGGTTTGTGTTGTAACAAGTATCTTGGAAGGTTTGTGTTGTAACAAGCATCCTGGAAGGTTTGTGTTGTAACAACCATCTTGGAAGGTTTGTGTTGTAACAACCATCTTGGAAGGTTTGTGTTGTAACAACCATCTTGGAAGGTTTGTGTTGTAACAAGCATCTTGGAAGGTTTGTGTTGTAACAACCATCTTGGAAGGTTTGTGTTGTAACAACCATCTTGGAAGGTTTGTGTTGTAACAAGCATCTTGGAAGGTTTGTGTTGTAACAAGCATCTTGGAAGGTTTGTGTTGTAACAAGCATCTTGGAAGGTTTGTGTTGTAACAAGCATCCTGGAAGGTTTGTGTTGTAAAAAACCATCTTTGGGAAAGGGTTTTTGGGTTGTAACAACCAACTTGGAAGGTTTGTGTTTTTAACAAGCATCTTGGAAGGTTTGTGTTGTAACAAGCATCCTGGAAGGGTTTTTGTTGTAACAAGCATCCTGGAAGGTTTGTGTTGTAACAAGCATCCTGGAAGGTTTGTGTTGTAACAAGCATCTTGGAAGGTTTGTGTTGTAACAACCATCTTGAAGGTTTGTGTTGTAACAACCATCTTGGGGAAAGGTTTGTGTTGTAACAAGCATCTTGGAAGGTTGTGTTGTAACAAGCATCTTGGAAGGTTTGTGTTGTAACAAACCCTCTTTGGGAAAGGGTTTTTTGTTGTAACAACCATCTTGGAAGGTTTGTGTTGTAACAACCCTCTTGGAAGGTTTGTGTTGTAACAACCATCTTGGAAGGTTTTGTGTTGTAACAACCCTCTTGGAAGGTTTGTGTTGTAACAAGCATCCTGGAAGGTTTGTGTTGTAACAAGCATCCTGGAAGGTTTTTTGTTGTAACAAGCATCTTAGAAGGTTTGTGTTGTAAACAACCATCTTGGAAGGTTTGTGGTTGTAACAACCATCTTGGAAGGTTTGTGTTGTAACAAGCATCTTGGAAGGTTTTGTGTTGTAACAACCATCTTGGAAAAGGGTTTTTGTTGTAACAACCCTCTTGGAAGGTTTGTGTTGTAACAACCATCTTGGAAGGTTGTGTTGTCACAAGCATCTTGGAAGGTTTGGGGTTGTAACAACCATCTTGGAAGGTTTGTGTTGTAACAACCATCTTGGAAGGTTTGTGTTGTAACAACCATCCTTGGAAGGTTTGTGTTGTAACAAGCATCTTGGAAGGTTTGTGTTGTAACAACCATCTTGGAAGGGTTTGTTGTAAACAACCATCTTGGAAGGTTTGTGTTGTAACAACCATCTTGGAAGGTTTGTGTTAAAAAACCATCTTGGAAAGGGTTTTTGTTGTAACAACCATCTTGGAAGGTTTGTGTGTAACAACCATCTTGGAAGGTTTGTGTTGTAACAACCTCTTGGAAGGTTTGTGTTGTAACAACCATCTTGGGGAAGGTTTGTGTTGTAACAACCATCTTGGAAGGTTTTTGTTGTAACAACCATCTTGGGAAAGGTTTTGTGTTGTAACAACCATCTTGGAAGGTTTGTGTTGTAACAACCATCTTGGAAGGTTTGTGTTGTAACAACCATCTTGGAAGGTTTGTGTTGTAACAACCATCTTGGAAGGTTTTGTTGTAACAACATCTTGGAAGGTTTGTGTTGTAAAAAACCATCCTGGAAGGTATGTGTTGTAACAACCATCTTGGGAAAGGGTTTTTGTTGTAACAACCATCTTGGAAGGTTTGTGTTGTAACAACCATCCTGGAAGGTATGTGTTGTAACAACCATCCTGGAAGGTATGTGTTGTAACAACCATCTTGGAAGGTTTGTGTTGTAACAACCATCTTGGAAGGTTTGTGTTGTAACAACCATCTTGGAAGGTTTGTGTTGTAACAAGCATCTTGGAAGCCGCTGAACACATCCAGAAAGTAATTTCATCTATGCTTTCTTTCTAAACAGTTAAGTACTGCGCGTGCCGGGAAGTTCTCCGATAATGAGGTACTAACGTAGTCTCAGCTATTTTAATAACGTCAAATATTCCAGTGTCTTCCAGCCTTGTCCGATAATTAGTTCCTTGGTGCTCTGGATTTCTTCCTCTGCCCTAACGCACCAGGTGTGTGTGTGTGTGTGCGTGCGTGTGTGTGTGTGTGTGTGTACTCACCTAATTGTGGTTGCAGGGGTCGAGACTCAGCTCCTGGCCCCGCCTCTTCACTGATCGCTACTGGATCCTCTCTCTCTCTGCTTCCTGAGCTTTGTCATACCTCTTCTTAAAACTTTGTATGGTTCCCCCTCCACTACTTCACTTGCTGGGGCTTTTCCCACTTGCTGACAATTTATGACTGAAGAAATACTTCCCAAGTCCCTTGACTCCTTTGGGCCCTTTAGCTTCCAGTTGTGACCCCTTGCCCCGGGGCCCCCTCTGGAAGACCTATCTTTCCCCTTCTATTCCCCGCGTATCTTGTT